TGACCTCCCTCCCTTCTCTGCTGCCGGAGCTGCTTCCCCTGACACACTGGAAACTCCACCCCCTTCGCTGCACTCTGGTGGGGAGGCTGGTCCTGACGCCCAGCTGCCACTTTGGGATCCTCCGCTGGCCCCTGCTCCTGACACGTCCCCCCTGGGGCTCCCCTGGCCTTGACCACCGGCGCCCCCTTCTGGGAATCCTCTGATTCGCTGGAAAGACTCATGGAATCTCTTGAGTCATTGTCATCCTCTTCCTCGCTGGCTTGGGATTCATCCCCATCGCTCTCCATCTCCTGCCTACCCTGTGCCTCTCTCCCTGAACCCCTGACAATTAGTATTTATTTTCTTTGTAATTGGTATGTTGTGTGGATATTTCACCCCTCCCATTGTAAAAATCTGCTCATTGCTTCTTTCACTTCTGCCTGACTCTGTAGGAGTCTGAGTGTTATCCATGTTGAGATAAGATGACTGCATAATGATCTGTAACACTCATGCAGTTCAGTAGCCTCCGTTAGTCTTTAGTTTGTTGTTTATTTTAGTTTGCAGTAGCTGTAATAGAATAAAGAAGTTAAGCTTCAGAGATGTCATTTGTGTAATTCATACTCTGCTGTGCTCTGCTGACTTTGCTGCTGACTTTGGTGCTCACAGCTCAAAGTTGTAAGTCCATTGCACTTAGACCTGCTCTCCCGCAGTGGAAGGTCTCTGGAAGTGCTTCCCAGCTCGCCTGGCCCAGTTGGGGCTGAAGAGGTTGAGCCCAGTCATTGGCACTGGCTCAAAGGCGAAGCTGACATGTTGATGTATATAAGGTAAAGCGACCCCTGACCATTAGGTCCAGTCGTGTTCGACTCTGGGGTTGCTGCGCTCATCTCGCTTTATTGGCCGAGGGAGCTGGCGTACAGCTTCTGGGTCATGTGGCCAGCATGACTAAGCCACTTCTGGCGAATCAGAGCAGCACACAGAAATGCTGTTTACCTTCCCGCCGGAGCGGTACCTACTTATCTACTTGCACTTTGAGGTGCTTTCGAACTGCTAGGTTGGCAGGAGCAGGGACCGAGCAACGGGAGCTCACCCCATCGTGGGGATACGAACAGCCGACCTTCTGATCGGCAAGCCTTAGGCTCTGTGGTTTAACGCACAGCACCACCTGCGTCCCTGTCGATGTATATAGATTAGTATTATTTTGTAATTTCAAATTGTGGCCCTGCATGCTGGCTGGGGCTGATGGAAGCTGGACTCCAACGACATCACAGAAATTGCCATAGTTGATAGTTAACAGATTCCATTGTTGGATCAGTGGTCCTGATCCAACAATGAAAGCATGATGCTCTGGAAATATCCTCCTGCTGTCCTCATCAGCTGAATGCTGATGAAAGAGAAAGGAAAGGAGAACAAAATTAAATTTCCTTGTTTCCGCTCACAAACAGAAAATTGGCTTAAATTCATTGGGATATCTATATCTAGATATCTAGATATATCCCCCATCTTGCACCAGGAGATCTAGTGTCCTGTGAAATTCCCCATTCAGCTCTGTGCATAAAATCCTGCTTCTACATTTTATTTATTTCTTATATTTCCAACTGTTTTTATCTTGTGCTGTTAATAACAATTTTAAACAA